TGATTTATCTATGAAATAAATCTGTGTAGCAGTCACATAAGAATCTTACAGAAAAATAATTGAAGATTAATAAGAACTCTTCAGATTGAAAGATATGTGATGAATCTGTATAATAATTATACAAGAATCTCACAGAAGTAATTGAGAGTTAAATGAAATTCTTCTGAATAAAAGATATGAGGTGAATCTGTATAATAGTCAGAGAAAGATCTGCAGGCTATAAAGAATCTTATAAAATAAGAAACTGAGTGACAGTCTCTTTTTTCTTTACAGAAATAAGATATTTTTCCTTACTGAGATTTTTTATAGATATGAATAGTTTTTAGTAAGTATTATTACAGTGCTGAGTCTTATTCTATGAAATCACTCAGTGAAAGATCTCACAGATGAAGTCTTAGAAAGAGAAGAGTATGTAAGAAATTCTACTTCTTATAAATTCTTTATCTCTATTTCTATCTCTTATATAATCAATAGACTTAGCAGCTCTTGACTACACATAACTATATAGACTGAAGTTTGTGAATACTATTCATAACTCAGCTTAAATACTATTATATATTTAATCTCTACATTGATCTTTCTATTATGAATACTTCTAGTAGCTATCAGTATATATCATATCAAGCTGTAAACATTTAAATAATCACCTGTAAGTACTTATTCTTACACTTTTATAAATTGTAATTCAATAAATAATTCGAAATAAATATTTTTCAGATATTAAACGAGTCAAAACAGATTACTGGAACAAATTTCTTGAAGAAGCATAAGGAAAAGAAGTTTTTAAAGCCTTTAACTATACTAAAACAAGAAGTGTAGCAAAGCTTTCAATCTTAGCATATGAATTTCAGAATGAATCATATACCGCAAACTCTTTTGAGAAAAAGTGTCAAGCTTTTATGAAAATCCTCTTTCAAAACTCTTCACAATTAGAAGAGGAGAATATGTCATTTCATGAATATATTGATGAAAATAACTGGGAATGGCCTGAGCTTACATGTGATGAACTAGAGTTAGTAATATTCTCAAGTTCAATTAAAACTGCTGCAGGGCCTGATTCAATTAATCACTTGATTATTTAAAACACATATTTCTACTTAAAGAATGAATATTTTGAGCTCTTTTTCAATCTCTTAAAAAATAATTATCATTCTGAATGCTGAAGAGAAGCTACTGAAGTAATCCTTACAAAATCTAATAGAAAAGCTTTAATTTCTAAGTCATATAGAGTAATATCTCTGTTGAACTGTTTTGAAATTTTTTTAGAAAAGATAATAGCTACTAGAGTATCTTTTATAAGCTTTATTAGTAATTCTCTTCTATTTAATGAATAAATAAGAGATAGAAAACAATGTTCTGCAATTGACACTGTTCTTTCAGTTATTCATGATATTCAAGTAGTAAAGCATGAAGATCTGGTGTCAACTGCAGTTTTTATTAATATAAAAGATGCATTTGATCATGTTTCAAAGTCTATAATAATTCAAACTTTGAAGATCTTAAAACTGCCACTTTCTCTAATAAAATGAGGTAATTATTTGATATCTAAAAGAATTATACAACTATTCTTTGATGAAAGAAAATAAGATAAGACTGAGATAAAAATAGAAGTACTGTAAGAATCTTCAATGTAATCTGTTATATTTGCAATATACACTGTATATCTATTCAAGAATAGAGATATGAAAATAGTGCGATCTTCAAGTTATGTAGATGATATTGATCTACTCTACAGTTCAAAGACAATGAAAGAGAATTTAGAAGTGATTGAGAAAGTAGTAAAGAAAATCTTTATTAGAGCAAATATCAATTTAATTCAATTTGATATGAATAAAACTGAGTTAATTCACTTTTTTTCCAGATTTAATGAGAAAGAACTAAGTATAACTCTTTTAAATAAAGAGATTAAACTCAGTTTGAATGTAAATGACTAGAAGTATGGTTAAACTCTAAGTTGAATTTTAAATATCATATTCAATAAAGAATAATCAAGGCAGAGAGACTACTGAATAGTATAATCAGACTATTAAATACTGAGACAGGTCTATTCTTTCAGGCTATGAGACAGTTATACATGACCTGTAATACCTCAGTAGCTGATTATGAAGTTCAAGTTTGATAGAATAATCAAGATAATTTCACTGAACTCTTTCAAAGTCTATAAAACAGATCTTTGAGAAGAATTCTGAGAGTATTCAAATCATCTTCTATTAAAGCAATGAAAATTAAAGCTTCAATCTCATCTTCTACTATTCAGTTTGAAAAAGCCTGTATGAACTATACTCTGAGAGTTATGAAGATGAGCTTAAATTATATAATCAGAGAAAGAGTCTCTTCTTCACTTTCATCAGTTAACTCAGGAAATGAACTGAAATAAAATAGATTTCTTGATTGAAATGAGAATAATACTTTAAAGAAAATACTCTCTCAACTGTATAAACTATATTTACTTATTAAAAATTAATTTTCTTCATTAAATGTTGAGAAAATTAATCATGAGAAGATATCTCTCTGAAGAAATAAGCTGAAATCTCTTATAAACTTATAAATAAGTGAACTATCTAAAGAGAGAGAATATAAACAGTATTTGAAGAAGATCTCTATCATTAATATGAAAGACTCTATTCTGATTTACTCAGATGACTCAAAAAATAAGAATTTAAATAAATTAGACACAGACATTGCTTATAGTGAAGATAATATCAATTTTATATCAGGTTTCTGAAATTTAGACTGTGAAGCTGAAGTCTTTGATACTGAACTATTTATAATAGTGAAAGCTTGCAAACTCATTGAAATAAAATCTCATAAAAGAGAAAATAGTGTGAAAGAGATATAAATATTCTCTGATAGTCAAGCTGCTTTAAACAGACTTAGAAATAGTCAGATTCATAATGATTAAATGAATCTTGAACTGATTTTAAACTCTGTTTTGAAAATTTAAAAAAGAAGAATATTAAAACTGATAGTTCATGTACACTGAGTTTCAGCTTATATAAATATTCATGAGAATAAATTGACTGATTTAGCTGTAAAAAAGAGTTCAGAATTGAGCAGATCTATTCAAAAAACAGTGTTCTGATCTTTCATAAAGAGAAAGATAAAAGAATCTTGTTTAAATAAGTGAAATGAAAGCTGATAGAAACAAAAGAAAAGCATACATTATTTACAATTTGAGATAAAATCAAAGTGAAAATCTTGTTTAATTAACTATAAAAAGAAAATATTCTCATCTATAATTCAGCTGAAACTAGAACATAGTTATTTCAAATTCTATAGACAAAGATTTGATGATAGATTTGATTCAACAGAGTGCTTATTCTGCAATGCAAATGAAAATCCTGAGCATATTATAATACATTGTGCATTATACAATAGTCTCAGAGTCAGATTGAAGAAGAAGTAAGATTTAAATCAATTAAATTTAACATTCTTATTCTCAACTGAGACAGGAATTAAATACTTAGTAGACTTTCTATCAGAAACTCAAGCAGCTATAAGAAAATAGCTGAATTCAGAAGTATTTGAATATGATGATGTCATTCAAAGGTTGCTTAAGCCAGCGTACAATTACAGGCGTACACCGGCTTCTTATATATTGTAATATCATACGCTAAATTAATTAGCGACTGCTATGGCCTCTTTACACTCATAAGCTAGTAGTTCAGAAGCGGCCGCGTTATTATTCAACAGTTGTACATTCTTTCAAATCACATTCTTCTTCATCAGATTCAGTCACACTCACATGATTATATCATACACTCTAGCTTCATGCGGATTAGCTCGTCACTAGCATTTCACAATCATGTGATCTATCTCTGATTCAGCTAGTATTCTGTGTACACTCTCACAAAGAAACTTTCACTATATTACATCACTTCTTCACTAATTTTTCTCATTCTTCAATTATCTTATTCATTATTGTCATCATTGAACATCATCATCATTTTATCTCAGATTACTGTCTCTTCTTCTATTCAACACCTTCTATTCATTTACCTATTACATTATACATGTTTCTAGTGATGGCCTCTCATTTTCATATCAAGTATTCTCATAGTGTTTATACTGAGCAGTTCATTAGCAGTAAGTGTAACATATTATGAAATATGATCAGAACTTATTTATCTTCTAACAATCATCAGAACATACTATTATGAATGACACATCTTCTTCATTTTCTTATACATTCTCAACTGTTTTCTTCTCAGTGAGTTTCTGATCATGTTTTCTGACATGATTTTATGTGAATGCAGATGCTGATATTTGTTTTTATTTGTATAGAATCTTCACACATTGACAGATCTGCATTCACTGATGATAGTGAACTCAATATTGAATCATTGATTAAGAACCTGAAGAATGTAATAATGAATAAATTGTCTATGTCATGTGTAGTTAGATCTCTCACATGTCTCTCTATCTCTTCTATCACTGCCTCTCAATCTTCTACACCTGCCTCTGTGTCTGGTTCTCCCGCTTCTGCTACCTCTGTTTCTGTGACTCTCACTCTCACTACTTCTGCTCCCCCTGGTTTTATCATCTCTGCTTTTGTGACCAGCTCTCTCTGTTTCAAGAAGATGTTGTGTAGACTTAATAAATCATGTTTATCAGTGTGTACACTCTCACTCTTTCTGCTGACTTCTAGAACAATTTATTGTATAAAGACTGTGTATGACATAACTATCTGAAGCTCAGTCATGAACACTGATTATTACATTCATTTTAAATATTCATGATAAGAGAATTATTCATTTATATCAGAGAATTGTCTCTCTTCTCAACAGTATCAAGATTATAAGTCTTTTTCTTTTCATCTTTTCTTTCTAACACTGATTTTTCTGTTCTTAGAGAAAATTGTTATGAGTTTTACTGTGCACAATGTCATGACATTCACAGATATCAAGAAACTTTTCACAACTGTTAAATTTAATATTATAGATACATCTGCTCTGATGAATATCTTCAGAATGATTAACTCATATCAGCCTATTCTTTAGTGTTTATCATCTGACTTTGTGATGCAGATGAAGAATATTCATGTTTTCAGAAATGAGAATATGAATATTATACTCTTTTACACTTATAAGTGTGAGACTCATACACCTTGTCTGAGATGTTATTATAAGAATAAGTTATTCACACACTGCATTCTGCTTTCTGTATTCTCTCATAATTCTCTCTCTCTTTCTGTGAAGTCTCATGTGTGTTGTAATTATGCATATAACTCTAAGATCAACAGATATTCATTCAGTAACTGTTCTCATCTCTGATTTTATAATTTTTATATACTAATAATAATTCTTAGTTACTCTGATGTCAGAGATCATTCTGATTGAAGATGATAATATCACTGAGACTACTCTCTTTCACTCTCAAGCTTCTTTCATCACTTTCTCTTCCTTTTCTGTGAGGAAGATTGTGTACACATCAGATTATAAGTATTCAGTCTCAGATGACTTCTGCTGTTATTCATCTGATTCTGTGTCTTCTTCTTCTTCTATTTCTTTCATCTTTATCTCTTCTGCTCTGACTTCTGATTCTGCAGGTTCTGTGCTCTTCTTCAGTTTCTCTACACATACATGTGCATATTTCTATATTGACATTCCAGTCAATCTTGTGATAAATGACATTAATATTGTATACAGAGCAGTAGAGAAATCAGAGATATACACAGTATTATTACAAGAGCAGCTTGCAGTTCTTGAATTTCTTACAGATCTTGAGTTTTAAGATTTTCTTTGTTTTTGATGTTTTTCAAGTGACATGATGTTGAAAATAGATTAAATATGTGATATATGAAAATGAATGAGATGTGTATAATAACATTTATCTTTTACAGCTGACTCTTACAGTTAATGATCAATTCATTATTTCTTTTCTTTTCTTACACTTTTTCTTTATCTGCTAGTCACTACTCTTATATGATCTCTATATAATACAGCATTCAGTGACTAGATTCAGCAGCTTTCATCTTTTGTAATTCTGTCTCATGTATTATACTGTCTCTCTTCACCTGCTCAGATCACTGTAGTAAACAGCTCATTGAAACTAATCTCACTCAATCTCTGAGCATTCTCAGAGATCAAGATGACTTAATCTCACATATTCATGAATATTTCAGATAGTTCATTCTCTGTGATCTCTGTGATTGAACTGATATAAATAGTTAAATTCAACTCTGAATTTCTTTTTCTTCTATGATCTGACTCATGTGCAAGTCTGCTGCTTTGAGACTACTCTTTACCATGTTACATCTGCTATCTGCAGCACATTATTATACAATCAGCTACAGTCTTATCACTTATTGAAGTATGACATTTACCTGATTTCTTCATTTCTTCACATTCTCTTCTTATAATCATGGAAAGATTAGGCCCCGGTGGCCGAATGGTTAATGCGGCCACCTGGTAGCACCTTGGCGTGGGAAACCAAGGCGTGTGAGTTCGAAACCCGCAGGGGATACATTAAATCCGGAACTCAAGCACCTCAGGTTCCTAATAAATACAGAGGTGTACAAATCGCTTCAATAAATCGCTCTATGTTCCTGGGCTGGGAAGTTATTATCGCATGTATCTAATTGTCACTTCTTTGTAATTCCTATGTTCTTGTTATCTTGGCGTGGTCTCAACACCTGTATTTCCTCCTGTATAACCAACACTTGACCTGTATTTAACATCACGCAAGGACTCATCATAAGCCCCGCTTGCATATAAGTATAATGAAAGAATAATAATAATAATAATAATAATAATAATGGAAAGATTAGAATAAGTGAGATCATCTGATTTGTAAGTATCTATAATTTCTCTTACTTTATGAGACTTTTTAATTGTAAGCTTCTTCTTTTTCAACACTGATAATAGTACTATAGATAATCATAATTCACTCAGATCTTGCATCTTTACTTTCATAAGTTATGAATCATTTATTAAGTTATATAAGATCTGTTTCTCTGATTTCTTCAATGCATACATTCTCAGAGAATGTGATTTGAGTATTTTATATAGCTTAAAGCATCTAGATTGAAACTTCTCAGAACTCTCATTATGTATAAGAACTCACATTCTCATCTTAAGACTCAATTTCTTAACTAGTTGAGTCTCATATTCTTTTCAATTGAATTGCTCAGTTCAGGAGTAACTCATTAGCTTTTGCATGTGCATGGCAGATCTCTTTCAATCTTGATTCTGCATCTGTGACTGTTGTGTCTGCAACTGCTATTTCTGCTGCATCTGCAACTGCTGTTTCTACTGCATCTGCAACTACTGTTCCCTTCTTCATCTTTTTCGAAGCATTCTTCAGAATGCGCGGATGCAATTCATACAACAGGTAGAATGATGAACACTTGAAGACTGTATACTGTCAAATCCGCATGGTCAATAGCGCCTGCCTGAGATATTCATTTCATAGTCTCATAGACTTGCTCACTAGATATTTCATCAGCATGTTGTTCAAGATTTCATTCAAGTATTTCATCTTCCTGTTCATTCATGAATGATATAATATTATTCTATGATGTCTTGTCTGTAACTAGCTTATAAAATACCTCACTGCTTCTTCTACAAGATTCACACTGTTATCAGTTAGAATCTCACACAGCATTTTATAGTTGATATAGAACTCATTATGTAGAAACTTCATCATTATCTTGTCTATCATCTCTGAAACTGCTTTTACAACTGATCAGTCAGTAGCATAATCTATAGCAGTGATTATTCATTAATTTTCATTTAACATCTGCAGTAATATGTCTATGAGATACACTCTTTATCATTTAAACAGTTATATTATACACTTCATCTGATATTGTACTTTCTTATATTCTAACTCTTTCTTAGATTCTTTTACAATCTGATAATTCAGGCACTTGTAAGCATACATCTGAATGTTCTCAGCCATGCTTGATCAGTATACTCTTGATTTGAGTACACTCATGAGTTCAGAGCTTTCTATGTGATTAAATTCCTTGTGCATCTGAGTTATCAAGTTGTGTCTAAATAAAGATTCTAGATAGAGAGCTTCTGCATATTCTAGATCACAGTAAAGCATAACATTGTTTTTCAATTTTCTGAGCTTGAAGTTCAGAAGTATCTTTTCTACTACTCTTATAAGACACTTATCATCTGACATCTTATCATTCTTTAAGCAAGAGATCATGACATTCACTCATTCTGATTCCTTGCATTTTCTCAGTATATTTAACATGAACATCTCTTATGCCTGATTCACAGAACTCTCATTCAAGAAATCAGATCTGTGACTGATTGTATCAGATATCACAGCATCTGATCTCTTTCAGTATTTGATATGAAGATTATACACTTAAAACTCTGAGATTCAACATGCTAAGCATTTGAAAGATTTTATTATCAATTATAGATAGATAAGGCTTTCATAATCCATGATTATCATTGTCATATACTCATTATCAATATATCTATTTCATAACATTAGTGTGTGCTTGATTACTAGCAATTTCTTTTCATACACTGAGTAATTGAGCTCAGTGTCTGATAGTTTTCTATCATTGTACATCACTGAGTGCAGCTTGCTATTCTTACTCATCTGTAGAAGAGCATCTTCAATAGCTCATTCAGATGTGTCTGTCTTAATGTAGAAAGATTTATTATAATCTGATTGAATAAGTACTGAGAATATTATTATACATTCTCTCAGTGTGAGAAAAGTCTCTTCACATGCAGTATTTCAGATAATTGAATAAAACTTCTTCTTTCATAGATTTGTATCTGTTTCTCTTAAGAGATCTGAGAGTGATGCTGATATTCATGTAAAATCCTTGATAAATCTGTGATAATATGAGATTAACTCAAGAAACTGTTATACATGATGTACATTTCTCAGCTGCAGTTAATTCACTATAATATTCAATTTCTCTGAGATGAGATATATACAGTTATCACTCACTACATATTCTATGAACTTCAACTCTTTCATTTCAAACACACACTTGATTGATTTGATATAGAGCTTATACTCTGTCAGAGTTATAAGCACTTCATCAAGATACTTCAGATGTTCATTGTATGAGTTTGAAAAGACTAGAATATTATTAAAATATATGAGACATAAGGTTTCATTCTATTTATGAAGAATTATATTCATTATCATTGAAAAGATGACAGGCACATTTATCAGACTGAATGATATTATCAGAAATTCAAACTTCTCTTATTACATATTAAATACAGTTCACAGAACTGACAGTTCATCTATACAGATCTGTCAGTATTCTGAGAGAAGATTGATCTTTGATAGATATCAGGGATTTTCAACTGTATTCAACTGTTGTTGAATTCATGACAGTGAATATTCATTCTTGATCATAAGCTTATTAAGTGCTTGATAATTAATACACATTCATTACTTCTCATCTGTCTTTTTCATAAATAGAACTGAAAAGTCTCACACATTTGATGAGAGTTATATGAGACTATATTCTAGAAGGTCAGTGATCTGACACTTCTGTTCTTCAAGATATGTTTGTGACAGAGAATATACATTCTGATTGACTGATTTTATGTCTCTCATGTCAATCTCATGTACAAATCCTTGTTCTGGCAGCAATTTCAGTGAAAGATCTGTTCAGAAGATCTTGTCATACTTCTTCAGAAGCTTCTTCATACACTTATCCTTCTGCATATTCTTTATCTTGATTTTGTTCACTTTCAGATTCTGTATGACATACAGAATGCTTTCAGATGAGATCTTGCAAATCATTATCTTTATTAATATTATTATTATTATTCTTCAATTATAGATGTATACAGTCAGAGACTATGACATCTACCTGAGAACTTTTAGTTCTCAGGGTTTTTCCTATGTCTGTAAAGTTAACTATTATATATTCATCAATTTCAGATATGTAAAATCAGAAAATTCCAGCTCAGAATACAAAAACTGTTTACAAATTGCAGTGTTTTAACATCTTTTGATACTTTGAAATCATTTAACAATATCATGACAAAGGAAAAGAGAAAAAGAACACAGTCTCAAAGATAGACACATTAAATAGATAGATAGAAAGAAATTGAAAGAAAAAGATAAAGAAAAAGATAAAGTAAAGAGAGACTATAACAAAACAAATTATTAAAAGAGAGTGTATAGCTGTTTTAACAGACTATATCTGATTAATTTCCTCCTCTTCATATTCAGATAATTCTGAATTTAGTCATTTTCTTATAGCTGCTTGAGTTTCTGATAGAAAGTTTATTAAGTATTTAATTCCTGTCTCAGTTGAGAATAAGAATCTCATATTTAATTGATTTAAATCATACTTTTCTTTCAATCTGGCTCTGAGACTATTGTATAATGCACAGTGTATTACAATATACTCAGAATTCTCATTTGTATTGCAGAATGAGCATTCTATTGAGTCAAATCTATCATCAAATCTTTGTATATAAGATTTGAAATAGCTATATTCTAGTTTCAGCTGTATTATAG